CTCTAAAACCCATTCTTGGTAAAGCAGCTAGAAGGAACTTTCTTTTTTCTTTTCTTTTTTTTTTTTTTTTTACCTTTATTCATTTTTGAGAGACAAAAAGAAACAGAGCATGAGCTCTGGAAGGGGCAGAGAGAGAGGGACACACAGAATCCGAAGCAGGCTGCAGACTCTGAGCTGTCAGCACAGAGCCCAATGCAGGGCTTGAACCCATAAACCGCAAGATCATGACCTGAGCTGCAGTCGGATGCTTAACCGACTGAGCTACCTACACAACCCTAGAAGGAACTTTCAAACCCTGAATTATTCCCTACAGGAAATTGCTTTAGAATAAAATCCATTTAGAATAAAGTCCAAACTCTGCCAGATCATACTGAAGCCCTGCCCACCTCTCTGACCTTATTATATACCACATATATACCACTTCAAATTCTTTCAAGCCTTAGAGCCTTTCCTTTTCCTTGGCAAGGAAGGTTCTGTTGCCAGACCTTTACCCTCCTGGCTTCTTGACATTTTACAATAGCTTCAATGTGGCTCCCTCAAAGAGATCTTCCTCTCCACCCGATCTAAAGCAGTGCCTCCAGAAGCTCATCCCCAAGTACACCCGAGCCCAGTGTACTGTACCTCATGTCACACAGCATAACTCGAATGGCCTTTTCTTGTTCACTAGTTTGTTATTTATAATCTACTCTGTCTTGGTTAGTACTCTATTCCCAGTCCAGACTGTACCAGGCAAGTCACAGGCATTTAATACATACTGGTTGAGTGAATGCATAAAGGGCAAACAAATAAAGGAAAACTTGAGCTATCTGACTTCAAGTCTAAAGCTCTTCCCACCACAGCATGACACTGTCTTACAGTATCAATTCTAAATGTGAGCCCATTCTTCCTTGTGTAAAAGCCCCCTACCATCTCCTAAAATTGTCCCATACATGAGTTTAGGTTCATGTAACCTGGCTTCTGCCTCCCTTGCCAGGTTCAAACCTGACTTTCAGTAGTGTCCTATGCCCTTAACACACCAGTAATGCCAAACTGCTATACTTCTGTACTAGTTCTGGTACTTCCATAATGATTATCAACACTGCTCTACAACTCCAGGAACCTCTGCTTTGCAAATGCTGCTCCTTCTACCAAAAGTGCTCTGGCCATCTCATTTCTAGGGTAAGTTCCTGTTCAGTTTTAAAAACATATCTCAAATGCAAACCCACTCATTACCCTTCCATGCGCCTTGCCCTGAGTGAATCACTCACTCTAGCAGGGAGTGAATCACTCACTCTAGCAGGGAGCCTGAGTGAATCACTCACTCTAGCAGCCTTCCACTATGGCACTCATAACTCTGCTCACTGCAGGGGGATGTGTTTCCAAGTATGGGACTCCTGGGTCCATAGCTTCTGTCATCTTTATATCTCTAGGACTTGGTATAGTGCCCAACACGTAACAGGGAATCAACAAACTACTGCTAAATTGAATGCACGGTAAATCTAATCCTTCTTGCATGAAACCTGAGGACAGCTGGCATGCTATGCATTGCTCACCCCTGTCCCAAGTCCTCTTTGCTCCAAGCTAAACCTGTAAACCAGGAGGTAATAATCAGTGAACCAGACAGATGCTTATACTTGTAAAGCAAAGCTAATGAAATAAGACAGAAATACATTAACATCAGTATATATGAACACATTGATGACCTCACCCACCCCACCTCTGGACCATAGTCCTGGTGATCGAACTATGCCAACTTCTACCCAGCCCTGTAATCTCTGGTTTTCCTACGGTGTATAATCTGTTGTGTTAAATTCCATGTGTTCTTCTTCTTCCATTCCCTTAATGAGCATCCATGCCTACTTTCCTCTTATTGTTCACTAATTCTTTTCTATCTATTTTCCACCAAATCTTGCCTACTCTCTGCCTGTGGTTCCTCTCATGTTGGATGGTTCTTCTCTATTTCCTCACCTCCTAGTCCAGGCTCTTATCAACTCATGCCCTGATGAAGGTATTACAGTTGACCCCTGATCAACTTGGGTCTGAACTATGTGAGTCCACTTAGATGTGGATTTTTTACAACACTCTTAAGATTTTTTAAATAGCATTTGCTGTTCTCTACCTTACTTTATTGGAAGAATACAGTAAATAATATACATTTGAAATGTGTTATTAATGGACTGGTTTATTTTATCAGTTAAGGCTTTTGGTCAAAAATAGCTATTAGTAAAGTTTTTGGAGAGTCAAAACACAGGTTTTCAACTGCGTGTGGGGCTGACAACTCTAACCCCTGTGTTGTTCAAGGGTCAACTGGATATCCAACTGGACTTCTACGGCCACTGTTTCCCTCATTCTAAATCACTCCATGTGCAGCTAGGAAAACCTTCCTCTAACTACCATCTTCCCTCAGCCCTCTGAGATGTGTGACATAATGCCCCTTTTCCCACCATGTTACACCTAAACACCTGGCACAGATAAAGAGCTACCTAGTCAAATTTAGAGCTATTTATTGCTACACTAGCACCATGATCCAAAATAATTAACAGCTGGGCCAAACCAAAGCCTTAAAAGTATTTCTGGCTTCTTCCCTTTGCTCATCTCTGACAACCAATTCCTCACCACATCATAGTGATTCTACCTTCAGAATGTTTTTCAAAGCCATGCACTTCTCTCCAGTTCCATGCCAAGCCCAAGGCTCCAGTCATCGTTGTCTTTTCCCTGGACCAGGAAAGAGTCTTCATTCTCATCATCCTGCTTTCCCTCTTGTCTTTCAGAGTTACAGTTTCCACATTGGGCGTGTCAGTTTAAGTGCATGATGGCTCCCCACGCTCTCAGAATGATCCATGATCTGGATCTTGCTAACTTTCTGACTTAATATCACACTATTGCCCATTTCTATCATGACACAGCAGCCCTGTACAGTCTGCTCACTTTTCTGGTGTCCCTGCGCTCACTGCTTCAATTGCTTGAAATGAGCTTCCCCTGGCTTTTCCCATGACTGATGGTTTCTCATCTTTCAGCTCTTAACTCAAAACTAGTTCTTCTGAGACGCATTTTGCAGCCATCTTCCTAAAGTTGCCCTTACTCTCTGTCCACCCTGGGGAAAGAACTTTACCTTATTCCCCAGCGTCTGCAGCACCTGCCATAATTTCTAGCATAGATCATGTTTTCAGTAATATTTATTGGATGAATGAAAGAATTCAGTATGCATATAAGACACATTTTTTACTTCCATCTTTGTTCATGCATATCTTCCACCTAGAAGGTCATTCTACACGATTTTTACCAACTAATATCCATTATTTATTCTGTGATACAAGATTCACGTCACAAAGAAATCCTTTCTAACCAACCAATTTCTAACCAAAATGCTTTCCTATTCACATTCTAATTTTTATTCTACACACACACACACACACACACACACACACAGTTTTGGCTTAATTTATATAGTATTTTCAAACCCTTCTCTTTTTTCTAGAAATGTTTTAGACAAATATCATGCTGCATGACCAAAAAATAAGTGTGCAACATTTTCACTGTCACCCTATACACTCTAGTTTCTTCAGGAGGTCAATGTTTTTTTTTTTTTAATTTTTTTAATGTTTATTTATTTTTGAGAGAGAGAGAGCGCATGTGGCATGTGTGCAAAGGAGGGGCAGAGAGAGAGGGAGACACAGAATCCGGAGCATTCCAGGCTCTAAGCTGTCAGCACAGAGCCCAACGCAGGGCTCGAACCCACAAACTGTGAGATCATGACCTGAGCCGAAGTCGGACGCTTCACTGACTGAGCCACCCAGGCACCCCTAATGTTTTTTGAGCAAAATAAAAACTTTCTAATCCAGATTTAACTCCAAAATAATTGTGGGCAGAATTAGAGAGACTGGTTGTCCTGAAAAATTAAACAAGGGGATGGTATGTACGTGAGGGGTTTCTTGGTTAAGGAATCAAGATCAGGAAAAGGGGTAATTTTGGTTAATACTCAGGGCTTGAGGAAATGAAAGCAAAGAAGCAAAGGAGGGAGTCCTAGTGATTTCTCTCTATTTAGAACAATCACTAAAAGATTGAAGGACTAAAGTTTTTTTTTTTTTTAATCTTCTGGTTAACAAAAGATTTATTCTTTTAGCTGATACTAACATTTTTAGGCCCATAGCAAAATCACAGAGGTAGGGTTTCTAAACAATAGACACATGAGTAAAAGGACAAAAATTTAAATCTATTTCATTCTAAACACATCACCATGCCTCCCCCTCTAAAAAATAAAACCCTGAACTTCCATGCAAACTTCTTATATCTTTAAAACATTCCTCTACGCATTGATTTATTTTTCAGATTACAGCAATGTATAAAGTTTATATTTTCTCTTTCAGAGAACATGTATCACAGTCTCAAAGACTGACCTGACCACTGCCTGCTATCAATGCACAGATATTTAGTCACATTTTTGCACGCAAAATAAGGTGGTCATCAAGAGCATAGACTCTAGAGTTAGTATCTCTGGCATTTTAACCCCAATGATACCACTTAGTAGGTGTATAACTTTAGGAATGTTTTTTTTTGTTTTGTTTGGGTTTTTTTTTTAAGTATACTTGACACACAATATTGCATTAATTTCAGGTGTGCAACACAGTGATTTAACCACTCTCTGTACTATGCTCACCACAAGTATAGCCATCATTTGTCACCATACAATGCTACTACAATACCATTGGCTGTATTTCCTATCTCTAGCTTTTATTCTCATGATTTATTCATCCCATAATGGAAGCCTGTATCTCGGGAATGTTATTTAACCTCTCTGGGCCTCAGTTTCTTTATCTGGAAAAATGAGAGTTTTATCAAACTCATAGGTTTCTTTGGACCAAACGGGTTAAAACATAAATAGTGCTTAATACAGACCTTGGAACACACTTAGTGCTCAGCAAGCATTAGCTCTTGTCATTCTTACCATTATCACATATATGAGGATAATTTCCTTTGGCCAATGACTTTTTCCATTACAAACTCTTAGGTTTGATACTCACAGGGTTAGAATGCAGCACGGTGAAGAACTCTGGGCTGATGAGGAACTTCACAGGGGGGGACTGTAACAGCAACGTGAGCCTGGATCTGGAGGTAGAGTGGGGCAGGACGTTCTCTCGTCGGAAATCTAGATGGGGTAGACCACAAAGGCTTTTAGGGAAACCTTTCCATGTACTGGAAACATACTTATTCACTTCCATCTATGCTTTAAAAGAACCAAAGGATGCCTATATCATTTGCTATTATTTTAATTCTCTGAATACTCTTTTCTTTGATGCAAATTCATAGATAAGACCTGACGAAAATAGAATTGAACATTTCTAGCCACTACTAACATTTTAATGCATCCTTAGATGTTCTAAGTGATCAGATTCAATCATTTCCCACTATCCCACAGATCCAGAGATTAAAGTCATTTATATTCTATTTGGTTTTGTGGTTCTTTTCTTAGCACTAACAAAAAGTCAGGGATTAGAAGAGGTCTCTGGTGAATTCTGCTATTTGCATTTGATTACCAGATCTTATTGAAGAACAAAAGTTCACTAAAAGGAAAATCTCATTTCTTGGAAATCCTTATTATTTGTTTTCTACTTTTGTGAGATTACAAACCAAACCAACCTAGGGGCACCTGTGTGGCTCAGTCAGTTAACTCTTGATTTCGACTCAATTTATGATCTCACAGATCGTGGCACTGAACCCCAAGTAAGGCTCTGCACTGCCAGCATGGAGCCTGCTTGGGATTCTCTCCCTCTCTCCCTCTCTCTCTCTCTGCCCCTCCACTGCCCATGTTCTCTCTCTTTCAAAATAAATAAACAAACTTTAAAAACAAACAAACCAAACCAATCTAAAGGCTTTTACCTGCACTGGCTGGGTGAAAGTCAGCTTCTTCTCCTGCCCCATCAATAGCATTGGTATTTTCCTCAGGCCTCTCGTTAGTCATGGTTCTGCGAATACTCTGGTATCTGAAATCATAAGCCTACCATCACATCACGGCAGCCTCTGAAAGAAGGCTCAACCATTCCCCCAGAGCCCAGAAGGCATCACTATCTTCTCAGCCTCAGGCCTATCTCCCCAAACCTCCATTTCCTGACCTTCTGGGCCATCTGTTGTTTAAAAGTAAATTACAATGCATTGAATTTCTTCTGTCTGTTGTTTGTGGAACATTTTCCTAACAAAATAATAAAACTTAAAAAAAAGTGTGGCCCTTAACCAAAGAAAACTAAATTCTTATATTGTTAAAGAACTTTTTACTTCATAGCAATTAGTTCTTAAAAAAAGAACAACATTTAAAAAGCTTAATAATAAAGATGCATGATGAATGGAGATTCTAGATATTTAGAAAGATATTTGGCTTCAGTTATATATGTATATGCTCTGTTTTGCTAAAAATTAATGCCTTGGGATGACTAAAAGCATCATCATTACTTTCTTTTCTAGTTTGCAAACAAGTGGTGTATGCATATAGTTATTATTTTTTTAACCAGGAGAAATTCAAGAAAGTCTCTAAATCAAGAGGTACCAGCTACATCTTAATGACAGGTCACCCAAAGATGAAAGAGAGACAACCATGTTTTCTACTTGGGCCCACGTAAAAATAAGCCCAACCACCCACTAACAGTCATAGTGAAAACGTGCGTCCTCACCGCCGGTTCAGCTGCTCCATTTGCTGTATGGAGTTTGATCTTTGCAGCACCTGAGGGGCGGGAGGAGCTGTTGGTCGCTGCCACGTGGTGGTTCTGTTTACGTGATCCACGTAGAAGATCCTGCCGTGGCTGTCAATGCGTGCTTCCCAATCTATATAGCAGGAATGCACCAAGGCTGGTTAGAAGAGGACCTGAGGCCATTAACGTGGGTCATTAATTTCAGCATGTGTTTTCCCTGACATGCTATAAATTGGGGCTAATAACGTATACCTCACTGTATAATCAGGCACTTCCCCCAGTCCACTTCATGATCTGTTGTGATCAGTTAGTAAACATACTGTGTGTGTGTGTGTGTGTGTGTGTGTGTGTGTGTGTAATACCAATCCTTTAAAGAGTTTCTGAATGTAGAGAATCCTTCCAGATCTGCCCACAATGCTCATCTTCATGTGTAACTGCCAGCATTTTAAAAATACAAGTAGGGGGCAGGCCCAATTGGTTAAGCATCCAACTCTTGATTTTGGCTCAGGTCATGATCTCCCAGTCATGAGATCGTAGTGCTCTGTGCTGACAACATGGAGCATGCTTGAGATTCTCTCTCTCCCTTTCTCTATACCCCTTCCCTGCTAGCACATTCGTGCACTCTCTCTCTCTGTCTCTCTCTCTCAAAAATAAATAAATAAACCTTTAAAAAATAAGTAAAAATAAAAATACAAGTAGTTGGTCTACTGCAAAGACTTCAGGTATTTGCATCGAAATTGGTATTGATGATCATTTTCACCAAAAATGGATTTCCTTTTTTTTCCAGCGTAGATGAACGACTCATAGCTAGAACCTTCCAAGCATATTTACATAAAATTTTGGTACATGTAGTCTTCAAAAGAAAATAATGCTAGCCCAGGCATCAAATAGCATCATTACCTACAAGCTCCCATTTGCGTTTTCCCAAAGATGAATACATTTTCAGAGCAGGGTAATTACTTGCCTCCAACCTCAAATAAATACAATGTTTTAAAACATTATTTAATTTTCTGTTTAAGCAACCTCATTGATTGTGTTCATCTTTGTAAACAAATACATAAGTGCATGTTACCCAAAAACAGAGAAAGCGGAGCCAGACATACCTCCTCTGTGGCTCTCTAAAAGGCCATTCTATTAAAATACACAAAGCATGAGCTGATCTTTTCAAAAGGCACAAGTCTGAAATGGATTGTAGTTGGAAAGTGCGATTTTATATAGCAGTATGTGAAAAGAGCAGAAATCTATTCTTTAACCAGCAAAGTTCTTTACACATTTCCATTTCTGCGTAAAATATTTTTTGAAATTAATATGCAACTTTTTCCTTAGCAGCTCAATTATTTCAAAACTCCCCATGTCATCACATAGCTTATCAACAGATACCATGGGTCTAATCCTGGAGACTAGTAGGAAGGCATGCCTGCTCCTGACCTCCTACAGTATTTACTCTGGAGGTGAACAGAGCGAGGATTCCAACAAAGTTCTCAGGGTTTGGAAAGACCTGAATGCCAGCACCAGACAATCACTGCGGGCTGCCTCAGTGGGAGGTGGAAAGATCTGTTCTTGTTGTTCCTAGCACGTGGTAATTTATAACAAATGGCAGGAGAAAGAAAAATTGCGCTGAGAAAAAGCACCAGAGAGACAAACAAATTCAGTGCCACTCATGCTCCAAGGTAACGCAGACTCACAACGAACCAGCCAGCCAAATCTGAATTCTTTGGCCCCAGCTGCAATCCCATCAATAGGACATTTCAAAATGACCTCATGATCAGCCTGCCATAAGCTGACAAATGGTTACTACATTAGAGCCTTTCCAGGAATGATTTTCCAAAACCCTTTGATCTAGTCCATTGTTTTGCTCTGCTCTTTGCATATTTCCCATCTCAAAGATCTTGAGAAGCAATTATGCCATCTCATCAGAGCCAGGGTAATTCAAGCACATATTCTATGCAAACCAAATGCACAAGAAAACAAATGGCCATTCCTTCTCCCAAAATTGTTTGCAGTTAGCTTCCAATTTTAAAAATGGAGAATCAGTCAACAAGGGATAAAAACAGAACAGAAACCAACTAAAGGAAGTAGAAAGAGAGGTGCTGCCAAACTCCCAAGATAAGCGTATAACTAAAATTTGGCTCTAAATTTTGGTTTTCTGGCAGTTCAGGCAGAAAAGAAAACACTGTTGCATACTTTCCATTTTCTGACAGAAGAAAGTAAAAAAAAATTATCTTCAAACATAGAACATTTTCCTTGAGCAAACTAGACAAGAATTTACCCCACTGAATGTGGTCTCTATGAGGCCACATGGGCAGCACAGTGGAGGTGGGGTGGGGAATCTCCAAATATATTTATCACCATACCTTGCACACAGCATGAAATGAATGGACGAGTAATTTAAAGAACATGAAACCATAACAAAGAATGGTTCTTGTGTTCGCTTTCCACAAAGTCCAGGAATAACCTTGATGTATTTCAACAAAGATATCTCTGTGTGCAATGAGAAGAATAAGAAAAAGAAGTCCAAAAATGTGCTTTCTAAGAACACGGGATGTTGGATGTATATTAAGACTATCCCTATTGGGGTGCCTGAGTGGCTTAGTCAGTGAAGCATCCAACTCTTGATTTTGGCTCTTGATCTCATGGGTTCATTAGATCAAGCCCTGCATCAGGCTCCTCACACTGACAGTGCAGAGACTGCTTGGGATTCTCTCTCTCTTCCTCTCTCTTCACCCTTCCTGCTCATGTTCTCTCTCTCAAAATAAATAAGTAAACTTAAAACATAAAAAAAAACCTAATTAATTAAAAAAGAAAGACTATCCCTACCAAATGTCATGTCTTTAATGTCTATTTTATTTTGAGAGAGAGAGAGAGAGAGAGAGAGAGAGAGAGAGCAGGGGAGGGGCAGAGAAAGAGGGGGATAGAGGATCCGAAGCAGGATCTATGCTGACAGCAGAGGGCCTGATACGGGGCTCGAACTCAAACCACAAGACCATGACCTGAGCCGAAGTTGAACACTTAACCAACTGAGCCACCCAGGCACCCACAAATGTCATAACTTTAAATTGATGTTGTTACTTAAGTTCCCATAAAGAGTAATGTTGTCTTCCTGATTTCAAACGGACACTTGGCATTGGATTGAGAAAGGATGTTAGGTCTTTGACCTGTTCAGGAAGTACAGATCCATTCTTACCCAAGTGGTCAATACCCTACCATCGAGAAAAAGACAGTAGAAGGGCCTCCAGAAAGATGAGCTCTTTATCGTATCTATCAAAGGAGAGAGGTGGGTATGGTTATTTTACATCTTATAAATTTTTATATTGGACCTGGTTTGTTCTGGGTACAAGCAACCATATTAAGAACTCATTGCCCAACATCAAAGTTTTTTTTTCAGAGATCACGATAAAATCAGACAGGCAGGATTAGAAGACCGGGAACTTGGCATTTACTTCCTTGTCTTGCCACAATGTACAATGGGGTATATCATCAGTGCGCCATGAGCCTGAGAACAGTGTACCGAGATGTGTGTATATGTAGGGCACCAAATCGGGAAGAAGGCCTGGGGTTTCTGGCCGTGGCTTTGTCACACTTTTGCTACGACACCTTCAACAACTCATTACACCTCTATGAACCACAGTTTCTTTACCTGAAACATTAGAGGGCAGAATTATACACTGCTAAGGTCTCTTTCGGTTCTAAAATTATAAGAATCTTCAAAACGACACCCGTTTTTCTACATTAGGTTCAGTAAGAACCTGTCAACATCTTATGTCTAGGCCAGAATTTGCAAACTAAACTCTAATTAATTTAGCCTTATAAAGCCAGGGGCTTTGAGATGCTGAGTGTTGGGGCTCCAGAACTATCTGCCAACACCATGTTAGCCATTGCAGCCCCCCCGTATTATCTGTTGTGCCTACTGGTCTTCCACGTAAGACTTCATTTTCATAAAGAGCTTCAGTGAAAGAGTTTGAAAACTGTCATCTACAGAAATGTTTCTCAAAGTTTGGGACTCTGACAGCACGTGTCAGAATCACTTTGAGGACCAATATAAATGCAGATTCCCAGGACAAACCTCAGGTCTGTAAAACCAGATTCTCTGAAGCTAGGACTCACTTATCTACATTTTTGAGAACCTTCCCAAGTGACTTCTAGATGCACTAAAATTTGAGGAACACGGACATAAATTTCTAAGAATTTAAAGCAGCTAATTTACCAGATAAACCCATGGAGTTCATGCTAAATTTCTAAGAGGTCATGAAGTACAGGCTTACAAGAAACTAAACTTCAGCCTAAATATTCTGAACTGGAATCCAGGAGCGAGTGGACTCACAGATGCCCTGTGCCCCCTTTAAATAGGTGCATGATAAGGGGAAGTCAGAGTTAGAAAGTGTGTCAAAGTATATACCAAAGGCTACTGTCGCAGCATTAATCCCTCAGCAGGGCACCAGAGGGAGGTAGAACAAGGAAGGTCTTACACATTTTCAACTTTCATAATCAGCATATGTGGGAAGGAAGCAGGGGTCATCCCTTCGATCCCTCCTCATCTCAAAATGCTTCTTTCTCAGTCCCTTCACACTAGACCTTGGCCCCCCGGTGGACTGTCTGTCCAGCTGGCAATGAGGTGAAGAAACGAACACATCTCAGAGAGCACTGAGATCGACAAGAAGATCAATGACTAGATAGAATGACATTTCAGGGGACTCGTGAACCACATGAACCAAGGGGGTGAGAGAATCGTGAGTAGGGCTGGAATTAGTTGTACCTGGGTTTAGAAAGATGAAGAACCTGAGGGGCTCAGTCAGTTAAGCATCTGACTCTTGATTTAGGCTCAGGTCATGATCTCACGGTTTGCGGGTTCGAACCCGGCATTGGGTTCTGCGCTGATAGCATGGAGCCTGCTTGGGAATCTCTCTCCCTCTCTCTGCCCCCTTCCCCACTCATGCTTGTGCTCTCTCTCAAAATAAATAAATAAACATTAAAAACAAGAAAGAAAGATGAAGAACCTGAACATTGTGAAGTAAATGTATAAATCAACTATAAGAAATTATAACAACCATGGTATCTCCACCAAATGATGGGATAATGAGGTTATAACGAACTAAAGGTACTTCTGAGGAAAAAATTAAGCTTTGCGATAGATGT